TCATATTCTTGTTATGGGCATCATATCTGACCAATTTTCCACCCTCCAGGAAGACGTCCGACACGTCATGGGAGAGGAGAATCAGTGTTCCGACTCTGGAAAATTCTATTTTTTCAAAATTGTTCAATTGCGATAAAAATTGATATCACGACATGAAATGGGCTGAAAATGAGAATGCTAAAAGAAATGTTCCAAAAAGGTCAAAACTGGAAAAAAAAATTTTTCGGAATTTTTCCGAAACTGAAAATTACCGATTTTCAGCGCAAACAGNTTAAATTTCAATTATTTCAGCAGNNCCACCATGTAAAAATAGTCTGGAAAGCCCACCAGACGAATATAACGCGATTTCTAAGTCATAAAAGTTGGTGGCCTAATTTTTGCAAATTTGGTTTTCTAGGTCATCTGTAAAAAGCCTAGAAATGGGCCAAAACTCACCGAGCGTTTTTTCTAGGCCATTTTAACATGGTGGCCTAGTTTTCCCTGGTGTGTTTTCTAGGCGATTTTGACATTGTGGCCGAACTTTTTGACAGATGTTTTTCTAGGCCATCCACTATTTTTGTCTAAAAATGACCTAGCCTTCACCTGAAGTGTTTTCTGAGCGTTTTCGCATAGTGGCCTAACTTTAGCAAGTTGAGGTTTCTAGGCCATCATGTTGAAATGACCTAGAAATCACACCAGCAGAATATCGGGCCATTTCTAGGTCATAGAAGTGGGTGGCCTAGAAAACTCAACTTGCAAAAGTAAGACCACCAAAGTTTATGGTCTAGAAACCACACCAAGTTAATATTAGGTCATTCCTATGCCATAAAAGTTGGTGGCCTAGAAAATGCGAAAGTTCGGCCACCATGTTCACAATGAATTCTTTCCAGGTTTCTCCTGTGACCGATCACGACGACAGCGATGAGGAAGAAGAGGCGAAGGCCGACGGAAAAGCACGTCATCGTAGAGCTCCACGCAAGGAATAGAAATTTCCAGAAAATTTCCCTTTTTTTACTCGATTTCTCCCTTTTGGCTCCTAATTAAAAAACGGTTCTGTATCACGATGAACATGTCCTCCTTCACCACTCTTTCTTTGTCCTTTTTATGGCTATTCAATAGCTCCGCCCCCTTTTTTAATTATGAAGTTAAAATTCTTATTAAAATTAAAGTTTTTAACATTTCCCTATTTGGTGATCTCTCCTTCTTTTCCCCCTAGAATCCACTTCCTCCATATTTATTGCGTTTTTTTGTTTTTTTTTTTCAGTTAATAAATTATACCAGGGACCCTAGAATTTTTAAATTTGGGTTAAGAGAAAAAATAAATTAGCGAATTTTCACTTTTTTTGAAAATTTTAAAAGTTTAGGTGAAACAGTGAAAAATTACTGTTTCGAAATAGGAATTGAGGATTTTCGAATGATTTGAAATTTCAATTTTTGATAAAAATAAGTCGGAAAATGTAGATACCGTAGTAAAACTACAGTACCCAAAAATTTTGATATTTATCGCTGTTTCAAAGTTTTGACATTTTAAAAATATAGATTTTTTCTATAATTAAACTGCCAAAAATGAGATCCTAGAGCGAAAACTAGAGACTCCACCGATTCCGAGGAAGGGGTTGTCTCCGAGAAACCGATTCCGAGGAAGGGGTTGTCTCCGAGAAACCGATTCCGAGGACTTTTTTTTTTGAAATTTATTTATTAACGTTTTCTATATCTCTATGGAAACCTTTTTGTCTGTTTGAAATTCTGAAATTTCCAAAAATTCAAACTTTTTGATCTTTGCAAAAATTTTGAATTCCAGTTTTTAGAAATAAGAAAAACACCCTACTTCTCATTTTTCAGTCACCCTTTACTTACTCAAGTATTTTGCCCTTTCTAAAAGATTCACCTGATTCCTTTCTTTCTGACTACAACTGTTTCTCATTTTTCGTAAAATTTTACAATTTTGTCCAAGTGCATTTGTAAACTGATACAACATGTCTTTCCCCTTTCGACCCTAGGATATTGATGGATCATGTGTCAAAAATGTGGCAAATACTCATTAGCTTGATGATCTTTTGCTAAATGCTCACTTGCTAAATATGCTCATTAGCTAAACTCGCTCATTTGCTAAAATAGT